ATCAAGGGACGTTTTAACGAAGGACATTTTGAACAGGGACATTTTCATGGGGGGACAGTTTTTCGGAGGACAATATTTCTAAGGACCATTTTTCGGGGACATTTTTTACAAGGGACATTATGTACGAAGGACATTTTTTCAAGGACGAAATTTCAGGGACATTCTTGACAGGACATTTTTTCAGGGACATTCTTGACAGGACATTTTTTCAGGGACATTTTAGACCGCTACCGTCTCTTTCAACCGGTGAAAACTGCACCTTTCTAACTCTCTTCTTTCTTGAGTTATTGCAAAAAAGAACTTCGACTATAGTTTTCTTAACAGAAAATAATCAGCCTTTATTTCAATATGATATAATAAAAAAAATAGAATACTTAACTATCACTTAATTATTTAACCCTTTGACGATGTCCTTATTTTATAACTTCATCGATGTCCTAGGGTCCGCCTGGACCCATGTATAGAAAATTTGAAAAAACCAATACTTTTGTTTTATTTAAGCAATTCATTTGTGTACTGTAAGTCTTTACATATTCTGCTTATGGACGTTTACGCATCAGCTTTCATGGAAACCGTATAAAGATAAACAACGCGGCAAAAAACTTGCGTGAAAGTGTTTTTATAACAATATTCAAATATAAGTCCAGAAACGGTGTACTCAATCACTTTAGGGTGTGGGTGTGAGGTGTGGGTGTGGGTGTGGGTGTGGGTGTGGGCGGGTGTGAGTGTGGGGTGTGGGCGGGTGTGGGTCGGTGTGGGTGTGGGTGTTCGGTAAGTGTCTCTTCGGCTAGAATCAAACTCACACCCACCCACACCCACACCACTACTCACACCCACAACCTTACCTACACCCGCCCCCCATACCCACAAACCCACACGCGCACCCATCACCACACCCACTCACACTCATCCTTTTCTATTCGTATAAGTCACTCACCCTCAGGATTCTTGTTGTCTTCGACGACATAAATTTTTCTCATACGGTGAGGTATTCAATTTCTCCTATCGTTTAGAGTTCTATTTATTTTCTATGTAAGTCATGAATCACGTACATCGATAAAAGGACAAAAAAGTGTTAGCTGAACATGTTGCAAGATCAGTAGATGGTTTTAGTTGACTACCTAGCATCAATACTGGCTGACTTTTAGCTCAACGATGTTCGTATTCTATGCATCAATTCTAATGGGAATGCAATCAATAACAATATCACAATTGAATATGTATCATACAGAAAATTATTTAGATAGATATTGTCTCCTACTATTTGAAGATCACCTGGTAACTATAAATGCTGGCACTCTAGGAATCATTCATATATATGAGATAGCATCATATTGTCTTCGATTAACAGATGAATATAATTTTACGGCGATTTCTAATTTCGAAAATGTTACTAATTTTGGTTTTAGTTTTATTGAATTAAAAGAAAAAAATATCACAAGTAACATGTTACTTTCATGGTCTGCCTCAATTGATCTAGTAGAACAATATGAAATGTTTTTAATGAATAACTCAACATCATTGTCAACAAATGAAATATTCTATAATTGTACATCATTTTGGTTTGGACCATTCTGTCGTTTTAAGTTCGATTATAGTCCTAGTCAATCATTCTATGATATCGTCAAAATCAGTTTTAAGGCAAAACGAATATTACCTCCGAACTCTGAAGTGACATGTTACAAACATTTACCTTGTAAAACATTTTTATCATGCTTAAATTGGCGAGAAATTTGTGATGGAAGCATTAATTGTTTGGACGGATCTGATGAAGAAAATTGTTGGCAATTAGAAGTTAACCAATGTATTGATGAAGAATATCAATGTCATAATGGTCAATGTATTCCGAAAGAGTTTTTTCGCGATGTTCGCCATCATCCTGATTGTATCGATCAAACAGATGAATCAGCATTGGTAACTTTGCGTTATTGTTACTCAAATCCGAGCTTTGAATGTGAAGAAGTTATGTGTCGACCTGGCTCTTTAGAATTTTCCTGTGGTGATGGGGAATGTACGAGTGGAATTGCTACATGTGCGAATGGTCGTTCTAACATCGTACGAAACGATTTTTGTTCCAACACGACCGCTTGTCTGTTAGAATCGAATCCGATGAGTACTTTCTTCTGTCTGCGTTGTAAAAGAACTCATTGTATAAAAGAGAACTGTCCATCAAAATTTGAACTTCGCTCCATTCCTCCAATATTTGGACATGTAAATCTAATGTTTTTGAATACAATAAACAGTTATTACGATCTCCTTTCTCCGGATTATGTGTGCTATGATGAAAAACTTTGTGAACATTTCTTACCAATAACACATTATATTGGGAATACCACTTGTCGTCAAATCAATGTCTCAAAACTGACAAATGGGAAACTATTTAACGGATTTGCAGGAGTAATTCAGATTGTCAAAAATCAATTTCGCAGTTGTCTAATGATCAATAATAAATATGATTATTGTAATTCTTCCACAATGTATCAGTGCACGAATTCAAGAAAATGCATTTCAAAGCAACGTCTTCTTGATGATTTTCGAGATTGTCCAGAAAATGATGATGAAGAATATAACCAAAGTTGTTCACTTCACGATGCTCATCAGCGTTTTCAATGTCGATATGAAAATCAGAAAAAATGTCTTGCATTTTTAGTCTTTGGTAATATTATTAAGGATTGCGAAGACGGTGAAGATGAAATCTTTGAACTGGAACAATATAATGCTGTATATATTTCTTTCCAAAAAATATGCGACGGGATGGTTGATTTATTACCTTTAGCAATTGACGGACAATATGAAACTGATGAAACAAATTGTAAATATTGGCCATGTAATAATATTTACACACGATGTAATAAAGTATGGAATTGTAAAAATGGAGTCGATGAAATGTCTTGTTCACATACCATTAGTTCTTTATCTCGAAATCAGTGTGTATTTCTCAATGATACGTTAAGTCTCTCATGTTCATCAATCAATCGAACTAATGAACAAAAAAATTATTTTGTACATCGGTCGACCGATTCTTTCGAATATCTTCATTGTTGGAATGATACAAAGTCTATTCCATTTAATATACGTTGCGCGCCAACATTGAAATGTCCAGTTGAAAATGCCAACCCATTTTGTAGTATTTTGAGCACTGTAACCAATCCATTATGTAGTTATTTATCGGATGCCGGTATTAAATACAAAGATAGATTTATTTGTTCTGCAAGCTTTTCAGATAACACCCAATCACGAATATATTTCAAATTGCACAGTATGTTAAATTATCATTTACAAATAACTGATGCCCATACTTCAAATCAATGGCTGAACAAAATTAACATTCGCTCGATCGAAAAAATCTCATCAGTTGTCTACACATCTGCTAATGCATGGCGATGTAATCGAGGTGTATCAATACGTATTCGAATAGATTTGAATCAAACGCGTTTGTATTGTCTTTGCCCTCCAAGCTATTATGGTGATCTATGTCAATATGATAATCAACGCGTCAGTGTTACTGTTCAAATTCGAGTTAAATCGAACTGGACCAATATTTTTATTTTTCTCATAACTCTAATCGACAATGAAATGAACATCGAATCCTATGATTATATTGAATATTTACCTAGCCGTGATTGTAATACAAAATATAATCTTTATTTACTTTATTCAACAAGACCGAAAAATTCATCGAAAAATTATTCAGTAAAAATTGATGTATTCAATCAAGTAACGTTAATTTATCGAGCGAGTTGGATTTTCTCGATACAATTTACTTTTCTTCCTGTCTATCGTTTACCTGTTTTGCTCAAAACGCCCGTGTCAATAATGCAATCCATAGGGAAACACTGTTGGCCATCATGTATTCATGGTCAATGTCTATCGTATATTAATAATCAAAATTTGACATATTGTCATTGTGAATCCGGATGGTCCGGCGTTCAATGTCATATAAAACATACGTGTGATTGTGCATTAGGTTCTTTATGTATAAGCAATTCGATTTGTTTATGTCCAACAGGTCGTTTTGGCCATCGATGTCATCTCACTCAATTGTCATGTCAATCTCAACCATGTCTTAATGATGGACAATGTATTCTGGAAGATATACGTTACAAACATCCGAATCATAATCGATCAATGTGCATTTGTCGCCAAGGTTATGCAGGAGATCGTTGTGAATATCGACAAAATCAAACTGAAATTGATTTTTCATTTGATGATCTTGAAACAATTCCGTCATTTTTATTAATTCATTTGATTTTAGTTGAAGAAAATGCTCAACCGAAGCGAACCAGTCTAATGAAAAAGATTCAATTTGATGAGTCTTCAACAAAGATTTTGACTTCAGTTATATTTCATATGGCATTTGCGCAAATCTTAAATAATTATTACTTAATTATTCTTCGTG